GGGGGGGGGGGGGGGCGGCAAGGCCCCCCACAGTAATCAAACTCGAGATCTCAAACAACCATTCTACTACTGAGCTGCATCCCTAGCCCCCCCATCATTGTCTCCATTTTATCTTTATATAATGCCTAAGACATGCTTTTTACAAATTATGTTAGTAGACATATATTAGTTATTGCTGGGTGACTTAGTGACTTAAACATTTTCTGTGGCATCATGGCACAGGTTTGTACCCAGGTACTCAGGAGGCTAAGGCAGGAGAAACAAGTTTTAAAACAGCCTGGGCAATTCAGTGAAACCCTATTATAGGGAAGTAACTCCCAGTCTGTTAGGGGTACTGAGTTCATGTCTCAGTACACTGAATGGAGTCAGGATAAAGGAGGTTAAGAGTAGGAAGTTTTTTTAAACAGCTCCTGAGAGGTTGCCACTGAGGCTCTTTGTCTAGGTGGTTTTTAAAATTTAATTTAATTTTATTTTATTGGTGTTTTGACATAGGGTCTTGCTTTGTAGTTCAGACTGGCCTCGAATTCACTATGTAGCTCAGGCTAGCCTCAAACTCATGGAGATCTTCCTGCCTCGGCCTCCCAAGAGCTGCAATTATAGGCGTGCATCACTACGCCCGGCTTCTAGAGGGTTTTTATACAGTAAAATCACATTGAAACTTACGAACTACAATCAACCTTTAGGATTACAAATACAGATACTTAGCTAATATTGACTTAATAGAAAAACAAGGTACTTAGCAACAGTATATAGCATGGAGAAGAATAAAGGCATTTCTGGAAGGAGTAGGAGTGAGGGTCAGCATATTCTGGGCATCTATCTTCACTGATTGTGTTTGTTATATTATTCAGGTTTTTTGGCCTAGGTGGTGCTAGTTACAGTACAGCTTTGAGCTGTTGTTTATCTCAGGCTTGGCCTCCGAGTCTCCATCTTGGGGCCTAGTTTCTATCAACTCAGCCCTTGACCACAGGCCTGATTTGCCTCATCTCTGTTCTGACTCTATTTGAGCCCAGTCCCTTTATAACTACCTATCAATCTCTACCTAATTTAACTGTCTGTAACGCAGTACTATCAGAATAAAAAATAAAAAGGTCTGGGCATGTGGCTTAGTGGTAGAGTGCTTGCCTAGAATGTGCAGGTCCTTGAGTTCAATTCCCATTCTAAACAAAATAAAGATTTTTTTCATTTTATCACATAGTTTCTGTGGGTTGTAAATCTGAGTGCAGTTTAACTGGGTGCTTCTGGCACCCAGAAGACCCTTCATGTTGCAGTTAGGAAGTTGACTCGGGCTGCAGTCATAGCTCAAGTGTTGATGGCCAGCCAGAATCACTTGCATTTACCAGCAGGATTCAGCTTCTTTAGGTTGCCCAGAGGCCCCCCTCAATTCCTTGCCATAGGGCAGCTCACAACATGGGAAGTAGCTCCTCTCAGAGGAGACAAGCAAGAGAGCCCAAAACAACACCTAGAAGACAGAACCCACAGTCTTTTTGGAACTTAATTTTCAAAGTGGTGTCTCATCATGTCTTCCCTGTTCTGTTCACTAGAAGTAATTCAAGAAGTGTAGCTCACACTCAAGAGGGAATTACACAAGGACAAAAATATCAGAAAGGTGCCAGGGATATAGCTCAGTGGCGCCAAGCCTGCCTGGCAAGTGCAAGGTCCTGAGTTTGATCCCTGGTTCCAGGAAAAAAAAATGAGAAAGGAGAAATCACTGGGGGCTATAACCTACCATAGTGTCTGTTATGTTATTTGTGAATTTTATTTCAAAATAATGAGTCTGGTATAAAACATTCAGTGTCCATTAGCAGAGGAGTAGGAAAGTAAAATGCGCTGGATACAGACTGAGGAGTACAATGCAGCGCTCAGAAACAATAGCCTAGCAACATGGCCACAGTTTACAAAAAAGTAAGAAACACAGATTTGTAACACAACACCATTTATGTAAGTTAAAAATACACAAAACAATATGCAGGAGCATCTAAAAAAGCAGAGACATTAAAGCTGCAGAATAGGCAAAGTGGGATTAGGGATCAATGAAACACATACATAAATAAAAGTGAAGAACTTTGGAAGGGCCACTTAGAATAGTGTGCCATGAACTGTGAAGTGTGGATAATTCAACCTTCTGAACCTGAGATCCAAAATATAACATGGGGAAAAAAATTAATGCGGTGGGCAGAGCAGAAATAAAACAGAGAGAGTGAAAAGTCATTGTGTGCTTCTATGAGATGTCAGAGTGGGTTGCCAGAACCAAGTTTGTTGGATAGGGGGCAGGAAGTGAGACTGGAATGAAGCCAAATAGGAGTGAAAGATTTTGAAGTTCTCTTTAAAGACTTAGCTTCAAACTGCAGAAATTCTTTGGAGAGCTTTAAGAGAAGAATCAATGAACTTCTTGGTTTTTTTCAATCTCCAGGGAATTAATTTTTTTATACAATTCAGAAAATTTTTGTTTTTTATTAGTACATGTTTTTTATTTTATTTTATTGGTACCGGGGATCGAACTTGGGTCCTTGCGCTTGCACAGCAGGCAGCGAAACCGCTGAGCTAAATCCCCGGCCCCGGTACATGTTTTTTATTAGTACATGTTTGCAGTACACAATTATTACACTCATCATGGGGAGTTGGTGCATGTTCATAACACATCTTAATTCACTGAACTTCTTTTTAAACAAAAGATCACTATAGTAGGGAAACAACCTAAAATGAGAGATGATTATAATCTGATCTAGGGCAGAGGGAAAAAAGAAGGAAATGATTTAAAAGAAAGTAGAAGATGGAGTTTCATGGTGATAAAATGTGAAAGTTATGAACAGAAAGATTCACATCTAGATGGAATGCTATTACTGTAATATAAATGGGAAAGAAAAAAGGAAAAGCAATTAGAGGTGGAAATATATGAGTTTGGTCTGAATTTAAGAGTCTAGATCTCTAGACTTTATGGAAGTACAGACCTGAATTCACAGAGAAATTAGGACTAGAGAAAATTAAATGGGAGACATTGACAAGAGGGTGATAGTTTAAAGACTGCAAGGGAACAAAAACGAGAGAAGACAGGCAGAAGGAAGATCCTGAGAAACAGTACCTCAAGGAGACAGAAGGAATGGTACCAATGGTAGGAAAAGATGAAGGAGAAAGAGAAAAAGAATATATTTTGGAAGCCAAAAAAGAAAAAGTTTCCCAAAAAGTGGGCAGCCAAGAGTCCCCAGGGCCACAGAGATTAAGAGACTGAGGGATTTACCCAGTCTGGTGGCATATGCTTGTAATTCCAGGAGGCTGAGGCAGGAGGATCAAAAAATTGAATCCAGTGTGGGCAATTTTGGGATTTAGCAAGACCTTGTCTCACAATTTGTAAAAAGGGGTGGGAAGGTAGTCTTTAGTGCAAAGACCTTGGGTTTAGTCCCCAGTAGTGGGGTGCAGGTAGGGAGACAAGGAGGACAGGGGGAGGGGAGGGAAGGGAAGAGGAGGGACTGAAAGATTGGAAGATTTAAGCCCAGCAGGGTGGTCCATGCCTGTAATCCCAGCACTCTGGGAGGCTGAGGCAGGAGTTTGAGGCCAGCCTGGAGTTATGTGGTGAGTTCAAAGCCAGCCTGAATCTATATGATGAGACCTTATCTCCAAAAACGAAAGAAAGAAAGAGAGAGAGAGAGAGAGAGAGAGAGAGAGAGAGAAGAAAGAAAGAAAGAAAGAAAGAAAGAAAGAAAGAAAGAAAGAAAGAAAGAAAGAGGGCTGGGGATTTAGCTCAGTGGTTCTGCCGCCTGACTTGCAAGTGTAAGGTCCCAAGTTCGATCCCTGGTACCAAAAAAAAGAA